CTTTCCCTCCCATACACCCCAGCACTCTGGGCAGAGTGGAGGAGGAGGAGTTAATGATTCATGCTAAATTTCCTCAACTTAAAACACCTAGGAATCAACCCACATGTTCAAGGGGCTGTGTGTTGCACAACCGCTGACGGTACCATGCACAGATGAGCACTACACCACCAGATGGTGTAGGATGGGTTAGGGCATTTGGATAGAAATACGGTTTTCAAGGGACGTTTACTACCATGGAAATGTATTCAGAATACAAAGCTTAAAAAAAAAAAATCCCAGAATCTGCGACAGACATTGCAAACAGGTGATCCATGAACCAAGCGGTTCACCGATGCATTTGATATGGCATAGCTTTTTTTATTTTTTAAATCTGAGCCAGTATATAAAAGTTAGTAGCCAGGCATGGTGGTACCTGCCCACAGTCCCAGCTACTCAGGAGGCTCAAGTGGGAGGATCACTTGAGCCCAAGGGTTCCAGCACAGCCTGGGCAACACAGGGAGACCCCTGTCTCTTTAAAAAAAAAAAAAAAAGAGTTGGGGTAGTTCCCATTTAAAAGAACATTTAGGCCGGGCGCAATGGCTCACGCCTGTAATCCTAGCTCTCTGGGAGGCCGAGGCGGGCGGATCGTTTGAGCTCAGGAGTTCGAAACCAGCCTGAGCAAGAGCGAGACTCCGTCTCTACTAAAATTAGAAAGAAGTTAATCGGACAACTAAAAGTATATAGAAAAAATTAGCCGGGCATCGTGGCGCATGCCTGTAGTCCCAGCTACTCGGGAGGCTGAGGCAGGAGGATCACTTGAGCCCAGGAGTTTGAGGTTGCTGTGAGATAGGATGACGCCACGGCACTCTAGCCCGGGCAACACAGTGAGACTCTGTTTCAAAAAAAAAAAAAAGAACATTTAAGGGTTCTCCTGAAAAATCAGAAATCTGGCAACATGGAGCCCACATTCCCAGTTGACAAGAACCAGACTGAAGAAAAAGTCCCCAAGTTCCTTTCATAAAGGCAGACCTCCCTACCCCAGTGTTCTAAGGCCTGTTAGTGGGTGATAGCAGCTCTTTTATACAAGAGTGGAAATGCCAGCATGCAGCATGTATCAAAAGGTTCTGCTCAGGTAAGTGTTACACACCCATGTGCACACACAAGCACACATATGTGTGTGACAGGTCATGATGAGCATACTGTTGCTATCGTTCACCCCAGACCCTGCCACTTTCCCAGACCCTCACTCATTTCTGTATCTGCCTGATCCCCCTGAAGTACTTGAGTTTTCAACTTAACATTATGACTTATAAACCAACATAGAAAAAGCCCTGGAAACAATATCTAAGGAGTGACTATGGCAGGTGGGGTTACCAGTGACTTTAGTTTTTGTGATAAACAATTATTTTACAACAAAATCATCGGGTTGTGGTTTTTATTGGTTTGGTTTCACAATTATTTTTTTAAAAAAGGGTATATGAAACCACTCTTTCTCCCCTAAATGGTAACCCACACTGGAGCTACAAAACCAAAGGACCATTAGCTCAGAGGGTGGTGAAAGCCAGACCCCAGGACTCTGACCCTAATAATATCAATGACTTACAGCGGCTCCTGCAAGCAAATACTGGTGATGGCGTCGATTCTGGCCAGGAGGCCTATACAAAAGAAGTACCAGGAAAATCACTGAACAAATCCACCACTTTGGCCATCTCGACGGCAGGATTCCAAGCCATTGGGAGTTAAAGGCTTTCTGGCTGAGCAAGTGCTTCTTAGAAAGCTAAATCCGGTTCTAAGAATTACAGACACATGGCTCTGAGTTCTTCAGTCTCCCCAACAAAAGGAAGATTTCTAAACTCACAAAAGTTTTATGTAATTGACATTTCGACTTGTAGTTTTACGCTGCTGGTTGCAAAATTTTCACTGCTGAAGCTACTTACATGGTCTTCCTATCCTATGACATGACAATCTTTCTCTTTTTTTTGAGACAAAGTCTCACTCTGTTGCCAGGCTAGAGTACAAGTGGGGTCATCGTGGCTCACTGCAACCTCAAACTCCTGGGCTCAAGCAATCCTTCTGCCTCAGCCTCCCAGGTAGCTGGGACTACAAGCATGTGCCACCACGCTTGGTCGACAATCTTTTTTTTTTGGATAAGCCACAGTCTTATCTCAACATATTATCTCCAACTGTGGAGGCATTTTACCAGACATGTCGCTTTTCCCTCCACTAAACGCTGTTATTGCTGCTAACAGCAGAGGGCAGTAGGGTACAGTGAAAAGAAAACCGGCCTGGCTTGAGGATCTGGCTGTGGGGACTTAGGCACTTCCCTACGCTCTCTGCAGGGCCCTCAATTTGCCTTCTGTAAAATGGGGCGACTGACTTAGTTTCCTCTAACTCTCTTAGTCTATAATGGTGGTTAGCGAGCTATGGCCCATAGGCCAAATCCGGCGTACCACCTGTTCCTGTGAGGCCTGCAAGCTAAGAAAGATATTTAAAGATATTTAAAAGATATTTTTTAATGGTAGGAGGGGAAAAAAAATCAAAGAATTAATAGTTCCTGAACAAGCAACTTATATGAAATTCAAATTCCAGTGTCCATCAACAAAGCACCATTGGAACTCGGCCACATAATGTCCACGGCTGCTTTAGTGCTACAACAACAGTGTTCAACAGTGGCAGAGTTTTGACAAGGACCCAGAAAGCGTACAATATTTACTATCTGGCCCCTTACAGAAAAGGGAGCAATTTGTAAGATTAAAATATTTTGAATATCACCTCCTCTTCCTATACTATTCATTGGCTAACTCATGATTTGTAAAATGACCCAAGCATTTACTGGTAAAGGGATTATATTTTAGGAAGGGGACTGTAAAGTCTACTGAAATAAGGGATCTACTAACTTCTCACCTAAAAAGCCAATGAAATGATGAAGGATTTGTCACAAATGTGATGCCATTTATCCCTCTCTTTTTGTACCTCTTGAGGGAAGAGAGAAGCTAAGTTGAACACATTACACCCATTCTCATATTCCTCTAAAACTATATTTTTTGAAATGTGGTGTAGGAAACCAATAGTGGTACACACACCAACATGTTCTATTTTACTAGTTATGTATTAATTTCATGTATATTGGGGAAAACACAACAAGCAATTTAAACACATGAGCCTATATATTTTGTTTAGCTTGGGACAAAGCTAAGTCACAGATTTAGTATTTAAGTATGTAATAAAATATGGCAAAAAATCATGGCAGGGAAAGTTCACATAACAGTGATTCACAAAGTTGCTGCCAAGGTTAAAATTTAAAACACTTCTTTCCAAAGCATGCTCTCTATGGGAACTAACAGGCCAACAGGTTTGTATCGTCCTTTGTGTACTTGGCTTAAATGGAATCATGTCATGGAATAAAAGTGAGCTTTTAAAGGACTCTGGGCAGAAGCAAGGGGGCAAAAGGGAAGATTTTTCTGAAATGATGTCAACACAAATTATGTTAACCCCAGAACAAAACTCTACAAACTCAACCATGAGTACCTAGAACCACAGGGCTATGAATCAAAACTGGAGAAAAAGACTATAGCCTTTATTTAGAAGAACTAAAAACCACAGGTCACTGACTCCCTCCACCCTTCCTACAGCCACTTGGGAAGCAGTCTTTGAAAATAACCCAAGAAACAACACAACCAAAATGGGTGGAATTCTTTTGAGTTCACAACTGACTAAGTCCCCATCATTTGATCGACTGGATCTCTTGGAGGACTAATGCTTGCTCCTTAAACAGCTCCTATGGAGGGGCAGTGGGGAGAGGAGGAGCAGAAACTTTTCAGAAGTCTAGTGATCCAACCCAGTTGATACGCTTCATTCATTCTACAAAACATTCTAAGATACTCTGACCTGACATTTAATAACTAGAGATTTTATTTAAAAATCCAGACTTCTCATTCTTCCAGAAGAGGATCTGAAAACTCTGAGTCCACATCCCCACCTGGCGAACATGGGCTGCAGCCTGTGCAGTTCGCCCAACCCCACCCACCTCCGTGGCCTCCCCAGCCAGGTCCTGAGGGCCAGCAGCCTTTTCTCATCACACTGGGCCACACTCCTCCAAGGTGGAACAACAGAGAACTAACTGTGAAGGCAATTTTCAAGAAAAATGGGAGCAAAACCACTTCCTTGTGAAGGCAATAAAATCCATTAAGTATTTAGCATGTGACCAAATTACGTTTAGGCAGAAAGGATTCCATTTAAGTCACCATTGCTTTTCTTACTCTCAGCCAGCATCCCTCAACTTGCCACTTCTCTGATCCACGCAGCCACCTGATCCGGGTAGCAATCACCGTACTAATATTAATACAGTAGCTAACATTCTGTGCAGTACTTACTATTTTAGGCACTGTTCTAAGTCCTTTATTAATTCATTTGATCCTTATAAGAGCCTACAAGTGGGCAGTATTATGATCGTCATGTCACAGATGGGGAAACCAAGGCACACAGAGTTTACGTATCTTACCAGAAGCCAAAGAGCTAGTGAGCGGCAGAGCTGGGCTTTGAGACTAGCCTCTGCCTTCTCCGGCACGTCTCAAAAACACAACACGACTGTTAACCAAGGTGACCTTGAAGGGAGTGGGATACCTCTGGGGACAGAGGATGTTATTTTCAACCTTTCATGTTTCACTAACATTTGAGCATTTAGTGTGAGTGTACTGTTTTGATAGAAAAAGAAACTTTCACTTAAAGCAAAATTCTTGGGAAAGAAAAAAAACATTTACGAGAAGTTGTGATGAATCCAAAAGGCAGTGACATCTGAACTGAAATTGGACAGATTTCTGGCCATCTCCATCCACCCACTTCTAGGAATGACCTCCAGCTGGCCTCTTGGGAACACTTCTCGTTTTGGGGTCCCTAACTGCAAGAATCCCACCTGGTTACTTATTTAAAATGGGCTCCACTGTGGTTCCCCTTGCGGTGATGCTCACACGCTTGGGCCCAACGGACCTGGCACCCCCCTGCCCCTCCCCACCGGGGCTGACCTGTGCTCTTATCGAGGAAGTCCATGGACTCCTCGCTCGCGCTGAAGTGGCTCGATGTGGCCTTCTTCTCGGTGTCCTGCTCCACATCGGAGCCCGTGTGCACGGAAGAGTTTGTGCTCATGGGGGAGCGCGGCATATCCGACAGCGAAATCCGGCGGCCCGTGCCCCCACTCAGCATGGGTTTGCCCATCAGGATCTTGGGGGACGCCGTCATGTCAAAGTTGAGCTTGATCTTCTCCTGCTTGTCTATCTTGGCAGTGCCGGCGCTGGGGTTGGTGGGGTCAAGCAGCATTTGGTACTGGCTATTGGGCGTGTAGGGCGTCCTGAACGGAGAGTAATTAAAAACCCCAAACTTCCTGCGGATGTTCTCCACGTAAACCTCCATCTCTTGCATGGCGCTGTTGAAAATGCTTTTCGTCTTTTTCACAGAAAAAGGAATTTCTTTAGACATGAGGTAGCAATTATTTATTGGAACCCAGGCCCTAGGAGGGCAAAAGAGAAAGACACTTCTTTAAGTCAACTTTAGTAATTTCCGAGGTTGGTTTTTTTTCTTAATGTGACCCAAGGTAGCCTAGTATGTTTTCCAGGATTAGCAGACACTTATTCTATTTTTTTAAAACTACTTGGTTTGAATGGTTAATTAATGATCCACTTAACAGACATGTTCCACCCTAAGAACAGAACATGAACAAAGCTCAGCTAAAATGTTAAAAGGCTCAACAGACTTAGCCATTTTAATCCATTAAAAAATAAATCCCCTTTGGTTTCCAGTTGGTAGGGTAAGAAATCAGACACTACATCCCAGACGACACCTCCGAAGGGAGACTTATTCCCCAGGTCTCACTGAGCTTCGCGCAGACGTGCAGAGCTTCCTTTTCTCCTTGCCATTCTGAATGGGACTAGAAGGAAACTCCGGAAACCCACATCCCTAACGGAGGTACATGTTTCCGAGTGTGAGATAATTCACACAGAAAATCACCAAAAAAAACGGCCCATTAGCCTTCGGGTATACACCTTCCACCTTCCATCCTGGGCCAGTTCCGTCTTCCTACCATCGACACCCCACATCCCCACGTGCTCTGCAGAGACCCATGACAGCAAAAATGAGAGCAGCGGCTTTTCTGGAACCAGTGACCCACAGCGGGAGTTGGGAACACCGCAACCGCTGCTATGGGTGACGGCAGAGCTGACACAGGGACATCCAGGACATAGGCTGCCACACACGATCCCCCAGCCTCAACCCAGTTTGTAGCTGGGAAACTGGCAAGAGTGAGCTTTTCCAAGGAGGCCTTTTGGATTTCACAGACCATGAACGCCAGCCAGGCATAAAGCAAGGGGGAGCAAACTGGACTTCAGCGAAGTAGAAAATGCACGTCTAGGTCAACGGGAGAAAGAAGCATCTACTCAGTTGCTATCCAAGGGGACCATGTAGGAGTCTGGACCCAAACTGCCTAGACTTCCAGCGTTTTAAAGAGAAGCAGAAAAAAACTGCATTTTTTATGTTACATTTTTACCCCATTTCAAACAGGAAGCATCTAATTTTTTTTAAGAGAAAAACACCCAGGGGAAATAAAGCATGTCCTTGGGGCAGACTGTTTGGAACTCCTGGTGATACTAGATGGCAGCATAATCTAAAACTAAATATCCTAAAAATATCTAACTGCTCTCTCAGAGCGCTGGAAATTACCAGCTTCTCATACATTCCGACTGCCATCTTTCTGCTGAGGCCGGAAGAACCACATCTCCAGCCAGAGGGAAAGCGGCTGAGCCAGCGCTCCCAAGGTAAGAGTTCGCCTCAAGGGGAGGCTCAGTTCCCACTGGGTGGGTGAAGACCAGGACTGGATAGGACAGATCTGAGATGCAGCCGGGATCCCCAAGAGTCAAGCGGCTCCACCCGGGGCTTATCAGCCAGTAGGTCTTGTGACCAGGCCCTGCCCTGCCCTGCCCCATCCCACCCCTACTTCTGTCTGGTATCAAGGCCACACAAGTGCCTACCACGAATTGCTTGGCAGGAAAGTAACAATGTTTCTTTTCCTTAAAGCCGCCCAGGAAATATTTAAATGGCAATTAGAGTTGCTTTGCAATATAAAGCCTCTGGGAGGGACAAAGTCTGGAGTCAAACTGCCTCAGCTCTAAGCCCAGCTTGGCTTCTTCCTAGCTGTGTGATCCTGGGCTAGGTATCACCTTCTCTGAGCCTCAGTTTTCTTATTGGCAAAATGGAGATAAAAGGAGCTTCTACAAAAAAACACTTAAAACAAGGCCTGGTGCATGGTAGGCACTCAGTTTGTGGCAGGCTTTTGTTTTTTAAACTCTGTAGGCATTAAGTAAAATATTTCCTAAGTTTTTACATAATTATGTGTGTGTCTCGATGAAATAAACCGCCCCCCCCACCAAAAAAGCAAATTCTTTTAAGGGACAGAAAGCAGGCAGTGAAATTCTTCAGAACATGCCTGGATTTGCGCGAGAGCCCTCACAGCTCGTGCTGGTATTTACGAACTTGACGATTAACATGTGGTATGTCTGCGATTCCTTGTCCTGCCGTCCTGACCTACTTCCCTCACACAGGTCCAGGCTTATGTCTCGGCTCCACAACCCCAGGCAGGAGGCCTCTCGGAGCCTCCCTTCTCGCCTCGTTCCTGGGTCTCACCCAGAGCAGGCTGTCGATAAACCGGCCCGTTCTGCCTTAACGACGTCTCTCAAAACAAAGACGCCTCCAGGGAGCTGAGACTCCCCAGCCAAAGCCCCCTGGACCTCCACAGCACTGTTGCTCCACCACCGTGGACCGCCCTCAGCAACTCCCCCCGGGCTCCCCGCCACCCAAAATGAACAGCATGTCGCACTCCCGTAGAAGGGACAGAAGACGGGACAGGCAGGAAAAGGGGGTAGGAAACTCCTGGCCATCGGACTCATGCTTTCTTTTTCACAAAGGAACAGAAGGGGCCTGGCTTTCACGACAGCCCCATATGGAATCAAGACCTCAAACTGCGAGTTTTGGGGGGAAAGCCTCTGCAAAGCTCCTGCATCCTTCCTGATGCCCTCTAAGCCACCTTCCATGGCTGTCTGTAAGGAACAAGAGACCCCTGCAGAGTGGTCACAGCTGAGACCAGAATCATGGACTCTTAAGGGTCTGGGACTATTTGGTACATGGGAATAAGCCCTGCTTTCCCCCCGCCCGCCTGTATCCGAAGTATACATATCCATCCTGTGTCACCCCACAGAATAAGAATCCCAAGTCGTCAAGACAGTTCATACTTGCTCCGATGAAGGGGATGTACAGCCCGCCACCAATTCCTCTGGCTTTTCAAATAAAAAACAAACTCCTGCCCCTACCCCTGCCCCACCCCATGACTCATCTCCCACCATCCTCTCCCTCCTCCCTCACCCTATTTAAACCACACTGTCCTCCCGGCTTTTCCTGAACACTCTGGACCCCAGCCCTTCTGTACCCCTGAGCCTCTGCTCTTGCTGGTGCACCACCTCCTGATCTGAGATTACCTGGCCTATCTGTTCACCTGTGCATTATTCACCTTCCCCGCTAGGATGTCAGCCTTCAGACAGGCAGGGGCAGGACCTGCCTGGCTCACTCGTGTGTCCCCAGCATCTAGTGCATCGCCTGGCGAACAGCAGGCACCAGATACGCATTTCTCTGAATGAAGGGATAAATGAATTTTAGAAAGATTTCCTACAAGAGTGGTGAAAATCAAAGTATAATACTTCCTACCGAACCCAGCACCATCTCGACTAATTTCCATTTTCTCTCCTGACAATGGACTGTTGGGATTCCTAGTAAACGGTTTTGCAGATTACTTTCCTACTTTCGAATTCACACTTTTTCTTTGATCTGCAAGATGACGAGCAAACTTAACAAAGAGAGCATTCTTTCAGATTCTGATGTTTAAAAATATAAACTGTATCTTCTGTATGTGTGTATATTTAATTTTTAGGACATGTATTTTAAATAGTCTCCTCTACACACTCACGCACTTTCTCAAACTGCCTGGCGGGGCTCTGAGAGAGTCTTTGCCTCGTTCAATCATAACATAACTTGCTAAAAGAGAACTAAGATATTAACCGCTGCTCATCTCAGCCTACCTGTCGTTCTCACGCACACAGGGGCTCCATGCTAAAGGGAACTGCTATTAGCTGGAATAATTCGCTCTGCCTGGTGCACAGGGAAAGGGGAGGGCAGGAAGGCTGGGAGGAGGGCTCACACCTGTCAAAACAGCAACCCCTTGTCATTTCCCATTGCAGCTTCAGAGAAAAGGGAACAGGGAGGAACTGCTCAGCCCTATGGTAAGAGATTCATTTACTGGCAATCTGGTGAAGTATTTCTGATCCTTGAAAGCATTATTTTGAAAAGCAATTTACACAGAGGTTTAATTTACTCCAGAAAAAAATTAAAAAAGAAAAAGAAAACAGCAGCATGGGACCCATTCCAATGCTGGTTTCATCAACAGAACCAGTAAAGTAAGATTATTTTCTAACATACCTGAGAAAACTGAAGCCCACGCATTATCAAGCTAAACATAGCACAGGAAAACATTTTTCAATGAGTAGATCGACGGTTGGTATCATAAACAAAGTAACGGCCCCACCCTCCACTTCTTTTCCTCTCCAATGACAGTATCAAAGGTTCAGTAAAAGCTACCCATTCAAAGCCTGCTTTTAATACCCACCTGTCGTGTTGTCCAAAGAAACGGGCATCGACCTGCCCATCTTTATCCCTCAGAGCTTTTGCAGGCCAGAATGGAAACCCCTTCAGTTTTGCCCAGACCAAAGGATGTGGATTGCTCTAGGAAAAGAAACAAAATCCGGAGTTTGTACATATTTGACAGCAAGGTACGCAATTAAGGCTTGGTATGTGAGGATGAAGCAGGGTTGAGGGCCACAGGTCCTGAATGGAAAGAGAAGAATTTCAAGCAGGGTCTGCCCACGCAGTATTCCCTAGAAAGTGTGGCCATGATGCCTGGACAAAACTGGAATGGGGTCAAATGGTGGAATTGAGAAGAACTGAATGACGGCAAAACCAGGCTTGAATCTGGCTGTGCTATCACCTGTGTGGCCATCAGCACATGATCTCACATTTCCTTGCAACATACACAGAGACGATAATACCTACACCCTCTGTTCAGTTTGGATTAAATGTGCATCAAGCCTAGCATATAACAAGGGGCCATATTAGCTACCTTTATTCTTTATCAAAGACTACACTGAGCCTTAGCTACACAGGTGCTAATCTCGAAAGGCAGGAAGAGATGTAAAGTATGTCTTCTCAACTTTACTTGCCCAATCTATCCCCGCCGAACCCTCTGACCCTCCATCTTTCCAACACACACACCAGCCCACCCCAACAATGCACTCCTCTGATTTGGAAAATGCAGATCCATGGAGGAAAGCAGGGTGCCTTTCTTCCCTCCAAAAACCGTTATTTGGAGCGATTGTGGACTTAATCCAGGGAAGTATTTCCAAACCTCTTAAAAGAGGCCCAACGCGATTTGCAAATGACACACTGATTTAATACTCATCTTACCACCTGCATTGCTCTGGCCCATCCCACACACCCCCTCTGATAAGCTCCCTTTCACCGTGCATCCTGCAGTGCGCCCAGGCAAATAAACCCAGCAAATGATGATGCTACCCTGGCACAAGAACTTTTAGCCTAAAAAGTTTATCCCACCTGGATTATTTTCACTCTGCCGTAAATTTATCAATAAAAAATTATTTTAGGCCAGGTGCTCACACCTGTAATCCTAGCACTCTGGGAGGCTGAAGTGGGAGGATTGCTTGAGGCCAGGAATTTGAGACCGGCCTGAGCAAGAGTGAGACCCCAACTCTACAAAAAGCAGAAAAAATTAGCCAGGCCTGGTGTTGCATGCCTGTAGTCCCAGCTACTCAGGAGGCTGAGGCAGGAGGATCGCTTGAGCCCAGGAGTTTGAGGTTGCTGTGAGCTAAGACGACACCACGGCACTCTACCCAAGGCAACAAAGTGAGACTCTGTCTCAAAAAAAAAAATTTTATTTTAAAACTTCATCCAAAGTTTCGTCTAATAAGCCTCCTGAAGAAAGCTGTCTCAGGGTAGTCACCAAAAGCACAGGGTTCAGTGAATGAAACAAGCAAAGTGAATCCAACTTACACAAGGCTCACAAAACCAGTTATCTCGTTTTTGGCAAGCAGCTAGATAACATTCTGGACATACTTCGATTTCGTTCATCTGTAAAGCAAAAATACATTAGAATGTGTCACCCCAGAGGCCTTACATCTGGCTGCCCTCAATAAATGCTTGATGATTATGAAGGATAAGATTAAATAAAGTCCCACAGCAGAAACACCCTGGCGATGAATCCAAACTGCTCACCAATCCCAACGCATCCACCCAGCCCAAGCCACGTCCCTTCTCTCTGGTCCAATTCGAAAGCTGGCTCCCCAGCGCCTCTGGCTTCCACTCTTGCCCCGACTACAGCCTTCCCCATGCACCAGCCAGAGCCACCATTTACAAACATAAATCTGATCTTGTCCTTGCCCTGCTTAAAAGCTCCCAGCAACTTGCCCTGATACCAGGAGTTGTCTGCAGGGGCAGGTCAGCCCTTCCCTCCACACCTAGGAACATGTCTGGGGACGTTTTTGGTTATCACAGCTGGGCAGGGGGGCACTACTGAAATCTATGGTGTACAGGACCGACTCCACAACAAAGAATTCTCTGGCGCCAAATGTCAATAGTGCCAAGTTGAGAAACTAACAATAAAATCTAAACACCTGATCAGTTCCTTCCAAGCCAGATGTGATGTGGCCTCCACCCACCTGTCTGAGCTCATCTCATACCGGCTCTGCTCCCCAAGCCCTTCCAGCCGATGTGGCCTCCTCTGCTTGCCATGCCCAATTTCTATGCACCTCTAACCACTGTCCGGAACAGTTAGTTAGTACCACGTCGCCCTATTTTATTTCCACTGACGGCAATCTGAAAATTCAGTTAACTTATTTATTGTCCTTTTCTTTCTTAAGAAAGTACCTGCCCCTAGAGTAACATCATGGCTTAGAATCAAAAGCCCTGGAAGCTCCATTTTTGATCTAAATTCAGACTCTTCTATTTACGGTTCTGTGATTTTAGGGGAAGGTGCTTGTCTTCTCTGAGCCTCCACATCTTCATCTGTAGAAGAGGGACGATAGCAGTGCCCACCACGCAGGGTTGTTATACAAATTAAATGAGATAAACGTAAAGCGCTTCAAGTAACACGGTTATCAAGACATCGGTTAACATTTACTGAAGATTTAGAGTGTGCTGGTATCATTCTAAGTGTTCCAAACGTGTCAACTCATTTACTCCTCACACCCTCTGTGAGGTAAGGCTGCCGTTACCCCCATCTCACAAAGTGAGAAAATAAGGCCCCAAGAACCCAAGTAACTCGCCCAAGGTCTTATAGCAGCAAAGTGGCAGGGTCAGGATTTGAATCCAGGCCGTCGGGCTCCAAAGCCCATGCATGTCACCACTGCGTGGGTACCTGCTATTATCTCCCTATCATCATCAGCCTTGTTTTTCTCTTTACCTCCTGTCATCATGCAAGGTGCCATAGCAGGTGCTCAGTAATCACAAGAGTGACTGATTTAATGGGTCAATGAATAAATAAGTGAATGCATGAACAAATGAATAAATGGTAGAATGCATCTCCTTCTAGCCCGCTCTACTTCTGGGCTATTCCAAAGGAACATAGCTCAAACAGTCCATCACCATTTGTCATCAAAGAAATGTAAACAAAAATTACAAGTGAGATGCTACCATTTTTACTGATCACACTGGGAAGAGGGGGCATATATACACATATTTTTTAAATTAGAACTCTCAATATTGGAAAGGACACAGAAAAATGACCACACTCATCCACTCCAGGCTGCTGTATAATTTGCTATAGCTTTGCTATTAATAAAAGACAATCAAGAGGCCTCTACTTAAAGCCTTTGCCACATTTACAGCCTTTGACCTAGAACTGCATTTCTAAAAATTATACTAAGGAAATCACCAGAAGTGCAATGATATTCATCACCTCATTATTTTAAAATGCTGATAAAACTGGATACTACCAAAATGACAAAAAAGGAACAATGAAATATAAATGTCCATGAATTGTACATAGAAATATTATACAGCCAGGAAATAGTCTGTTCTTCCTGTGTGTTTAATTACCTAGGAAAACAGAAAATACTCAAAAAAACTAAGTGTAAAGGCAGTTTATAGAACTCTCTATATACAAATATATAGACATAGACGGACCCCAATGATAGCCAAACAGGTTTTCTTTACAAATGAATGAACGGGAGCACACAGACAGGATGAAGGTCATTACCTCTCAGTTTTTCACTCTTACGATCGGGATCTAATAGAGCCACATCGTTTCAGCTGCCAGCCTGTGCCACAACCACCACAGCCTCAGGGCTCCCAAGTCCAACAAGTTTATTCTACCGACACCATCAAAAGTGTGGGTATTCGCAAGAAGGACACACTCTCCACGACACCTGGGCCACTCTCTGAGAAACAGTCGAGGCCTGTCCCCCAAATGTCAAAACCCAAACCTCTTCTGCAAGAGGAATGAAAGAGACCTAACTCAATGCCACAGATTATGGGGCCAAGGTCAGAAATTATGAATTCTATCTAGGCAACCAAGAAATCTCAGGATACCCAGTGCTTGCCCATGACTTAAGGGTGAAAAGTAAAAAATCATTCCATCAGGCTGTTTAGTTACATACGGGGACCCCTCTTTGTTGCTTCTACTTCCCTTGCAGAGGAGGGGCTCTGTCTGTGCCTCAACAAATTCCAAAATCACCTTGGCTACCCACAGGGAGATTGTGCAAATGGAAACAGCAGCAGCTACCCCAACCCCTCACTCTGGGTGCACCTGAAATGGGACAGTGGGAAACACATACCTCATGTTCACAGATTTTGATGACTACTTTCGCTATTTGCGTCAATTTGTGATTTCCTAAGGGAATAAGAAAATAGGATTAATTCTAATGGAAACACTACAACACCCAGCCTGGGGATTATACTTCCACCACCAACATTTTAACTTGCTTTCCCCCAGGATTAAGCTTTTAAAGGCTAAAAACCAGAAGTTTCTGGCTTCTAATACTGGTTCAAATTATGTACTAATAATTTGTCCCATCAAAGTTGACCAATCTTTGGTGCTTGATGTGGTCTTCTCTGAAACTGAGCAATTTATGTGGATTTCCCTAGACATCATGGATTTATGTTTTCAAAATGCTTTGACATCCTAAAGGGAATTAGTGGAAAGGAACCTTATTCTCCCCACTGTTGCAGACTCCAGCCCAAGAAGGGTGTGAGGGAGGGAAGTAGCGCTGGTGTGCCTGGTGCTTTGAAATGCATTTTCTTGTTAACTCCTTCTCAAGAAGCCTATTAGGAAGGGGTTTGAAACGTGCCCATTTAATTAGTGAGGAGGCCAAGGCTCAACAGTCATCCCTTACATTCTCGTGAGAACACTTCGCTAGTAAGATAAGCGCCTGGCCCCAGGTCTGGAAACCCTTCACCTTTGCACTAAACCAGAGGACAAGATGGTCAAAAAGTCATGTTTTCTTTGAACCTTATGATATTTACAGAAATTATAAATTTGTTGACAAGAAGATTTCACACACAAAAAAACCAATACCTAGATTTCCTACTTGCCTTGAAAACTCAGAAGATCCCAAAATTCTTTGTCACCAACAAAGCCCTGGAGCTGCCAACAGTGACCTCTCCAGACCAGACGGGAGTTCCCTGTTCTCCATGATCCCCAGCCCTTCATGCGGCCACAGCCATCCTGGCTTGTGCTGTGTGTTTCTTCCACCTGACCTCATTCACTTGTTTACGTGATTTGACGCGCCAGGCCTTTCTATATAATTGAGTTTATAATCTTTACACAAATTCTCAGTGCCTCGTGCCTCTCCTTTCTCCTCTCCCTGCTGCTGAGTTAATAATGCAGTCTATGTGCTTAAAGCAGACATCCATTCACGTGTGTTTCCTTAAACACTAGCTAACAGTCTACACTAGGCCTGAGGGGTATACAGGGAACAAGATACGCCCTTTAAAAAGCTTACATCCCAATAAGCAACTGAAACACATAAAAACAGCACCATTCAGAAAGCAAAACGTTGCCGTAGAGAAGTACAGAGACCCTGAGGGCCCTTAATGAGAACACCTACAGGGTCTGGGCCATCGGGAAAGCTTCTCAGAGGACCGAGATACTGCAGGGCAAGGGGAAGTTATCAAGACCAAGGCCGAGGAGCAGGAGTGCTGCAGCAGGGGCCTGAGCACAAGAGGACCTGGGGACAAGAGCACCAGGGTGGGGCAGGACGCTGGAAGATGCACCTGGCCACAAAGCAGACAGGGAAGGTTGTGGGGGAAGGTGGAGCAACAAGCAAGTGCCAAGTGGGAAGGTTAGAACGGAAACCCCCATTGTGGTCAGAGGGCTCGATCCTCTAAATCCACGAAAACACAACTAAGAAAACTCTGTCCAGAGTAGAAAGAACTCCCAACAATTCAATTTTTGAAATGAGTGAATGATTTAAATAGGTATTTTACCAAAACACACATACAAATGACTAATAAGCACATGAAACGACACTCAATACCATCGGTCATTAGGGAAAGGCAAATTAAAGCCACCATGACATACTATTTTACACCTTCAAGAAAGGCTGACATTAAAAAGGCAGAAGATATCAAGTATTGACAAGGGTGTGGAGCAGTGAGGGTTCTCATATACTCTGCTAGCTGAGTATAAAATGATATAACCACTTTGCAAAAACAGTTTGATGATATTTATTATAAAGTTAACTGTAAACCTACTCGATGATCCAGCAATACCAGTCCTAGGTATTCACCCAAGAGAAATGAAAACATTATGTCCACACAGAGACTTGTACAAGAAAGATCACAGCAGCTTTATTCGTAATGGCCCAGAGCTGAAAAGAACCCAAATATCCATCAACATCAACAAGGTAGTCGTGGTATATTGATAGACTGGGAAACCACTCAGCAACAAAAAAGGACAAACCACGGATAACATGCAACACGGATGAGTCTACACGTCAGTCTCACTGTATGAAAGCTGCCAGACACCAAAGAGCACACGACCTCAACGACTCCACCGACACGAAATTGTAAAATGTGGCAAACTAATCTATAGTGATAGAAAACCGAATACTAGTTCCTTTTGAGGGGGGTTTACTAGAAAAAAGGCAAGAAGGGAATGAAACAGGTTGATGGAAATGTTCTAGATCTTATTTGCGTCTGCGGTTGCACATTTGTCGAATTCATTGAACGTACACATAAAAGCTGTGCGTTTTATTTTATGCAATTATACTTCCGCTAAAACGAGGTTGCTAGAAACAACAGTAAGAGGTAGCAGCAACATACAGCCTCGAGCCACTGGATGTCAGCTCGTACCTTAAAATTCACGTAGCTGCTGCCCCCATTCATACATCTGAGCAGTCCACACACGAGTGTTCTCGGTTATTAGCCCTGAGGTATGAATTTTGATGAAGGGTGGATGAATGTGCAACACACACACAGCACACTTTCTCTCTTGGCCGTCATCTGAGCCACTCACCCCCGTTATAAATGATGCAGTTGTGCAAAATCCACTTTGCATCCGCCAGGAAGGCTTCTGTGCAGCCATACATTTTCTTTTTAGCGTTCTGGGAAGAAAAGCCACGGAGCATAATCACCAATGAGTCTAAACAAGCCACAACCAGCAATGCTCGCATCCCCACATAATTTTCTTAGCAGTCATTAATTAGCGCTCTTTTACTCACTTCCCAAGATACTGTTATTTTTGAGATCTATAACCCTATAAAAATGTACTCCTTGAATTCATCACAGTAACCTGAATTTTCTCATCTCATAGCAGCTGTCATTTGTCAAAGTATAGGTCCTTCCAATGAACGGAATATTTTATGTAATATTCTTTATTACTCATATGGTCTCATTTAAAGCTCATGATAACTCAGTGAAGTACTTATCATCACCCCCATTTTACAGAAGGGAAAACTGAGGTACAGTAATGTTATGGAACACGTGCAAAGTTTCCAAGCTATTAATTTATAAAGTTAGGATTCCAATCCTGTCTTTTTTGAATACCTTCTTTTATCCACCACACCAAGAGGGTGTGTACAATTTCCCAAAACAGAGTGAATTTATTGTTTCCAACTTATCAGGGCAGACAATATGAAGTAATGCTTCCTCCTTATAGATTCACTTTATTTCCTGTATTTTACTCCAAACAGTTTGAAAATCAGCACCAGGATGATGTGCACAACCCAAACTGTTGTAAGTGTAATTTTCACCATGGAATTTTAACACAAACTTTAAAAACACCTTCAGGCATTAAAGAAATATCCTTATCAGTAGAATAGGTCAAGTTCTAAGAAGCCACATCTTTATTGCTAATCTGGAGGTTTTCCAAACACTTAATTTTCTCTTCTTCCTTCCTGCTGCTCTCATTAGCACCTCCAAAAGAAAGAAAAGAGGAGGTAAGACTCAAATCAATCAAATCACTAACTCTTAGAAGCTATGACTTTTTCAGGTAAAAAGCCAGAATCACTCACAGAAAATATTATCAGTGGATTTCAACACTCCACTGCAATGTTGGCAGAATGTTAACAGAGGAAAGAAGTCAGGGGATCAAATGTTCTTCCATCCAAATAAAAATGGAGCAAGGAAAATGTAGAGAAATAATCTAATTTGAGACAGTGCATGGGAAGAGAGGGAGAATCCTCAGTCATCTTGACAACCGTGGGCTACCATGGTGGGGGTCTTTGATGGAGGCCGACCTTTTCTAATGTACAAAGGTCCATGGGATGGAAAATGTATTCCGCATAGTCAGGATGCTGTTCCAATGGAACGGGCTTCTGGAATGCATCTGTCTATAAAAGAAAATATACACACACAAGAACAAACCCATCATTGCTGTGGAAGACCAAGCATTAATACTAACAAAAACGAGAGACGGAGACAAGTTTTCAGACAATACAGTTTTGTTTTGTTTTTAGACAGAGTCTGGTCCTTGTCTCCCAGGATAGAGTGCAGTGGCATCACCATAGCTCACTGCAACCTCCTGCCTCAGCCTCCCAAGTAGCCAAGTAGCTGGGACTACAGGTCCGTGCCATGCCTGGCTAATTTTTCTGTTTTTTGTAGAGATGAGGTCTCACTCTTGCTCAGGCTGGTCTCGAACTCCCAAGCTCAAGCGATTCTCCAGCCTCGGCCTCCCAGAATGCTAGGATTATAGGCATGAGCCACCATGCCTAGCCCAGACAATACAGTTGTAAAAGTTTCCACAAAGGGTGACCTTGGGGTACTCCAAATTGGTCCATCTTCTAACGATGCCTGGTTATTGGTAATCATGGGCCCAGTTGTGTTTCAGTGTTGGTTTTTGTTTTGTTTTCAATATACACCCAAGTAACAGGTCCCATCCTCTTACACTAAGATCGATGATTACAACACACTGTAAGTTAAAAAGATACTTCAACAAAATAGACAATTTTCTGCCCTGATTGACTTTACAACAATGTACACGAGAAACTAATGCTTTCTTCAATTTTTCTTGTTGGTTTATATATAATTCTGTGGTGCTGACAAGTCTGTGTGACCCAATCATCAGCAGATGTAATTTAGCCTATGAAAAACAGGAAGTAATTCCTTGTCACACTCAGCATAAAAATCATCCCACAGGAAAAAAAAAAGTTATTAACCCAACTGAGGCTACACACTTCTGCTTCCACTGATTGAGATTTTGTTAAAGGGCCTAACAGGTTCCCAATTTAACAACACGCAATTGGCATGCTCCACAATATAATCTCAAAGGGAAAGCTTGTTGTTTTTTTTTTTTAAAGAAATAAAACCACAGTGATTGCTAAAAGCCAGCCCTGAGATTCTGCATTTCCATATATCCATTTGATTTAGAAAGCAAACCCTGATTCAGAGTTTCACAAAGGATCCCAGCTGGCCCTGACGGAGCCTTTGTGCAAATCAGAAAGGGAAACTCCATTCTCAAGTTTCTTTAGATTCATCTGACATCTGTCATAACATGCTGATTATATTGTCATATTATCATTTTTGAAAACGAGTCACTTCTCTGCCATTTTCCTGAACACTATCCTAGTAAATACACAAACCACAATGGCTGTAGTTCGACGGCCACACAGGAGGAACACCGCTGTGAGGAGCACAGCTGGCCAGTCCTGCTTTCATAGCAGGTGTTTCTGAAGGGGCAAAGGCTTCACATCAACTCCCGTTTCAAAACTGAAGGAACTAACCAAATGCTCACCCTCTATAGATATGTTACTGGTTGAGTTTTACGTGACGGTTCCACCATTAGACCTTAGTTACGAACAAACTGCACTGTACTCAGCTCTCTCATTGAAATGGAATTTTACTAACTCCCGTGGGAAGGAGCAGAAAGCTCCCCCTTGCCCAGTGGGGTATGAGGTTTCACTTCACAAGCAATCAGAATTTTAAATCTTCACCAACTTTCTACTGTATGTCATTTCCCAATTAAACTCCTTTGGGACACAGCGCTCACTACAGAGACTTAACTGATTGCCACCATACCTTATGTTTAATCCACCGACAGCTGAATTTGGGCACACGCGAAGGCCCAATGAATATGTGAGATGTCTGAAAAGCTAAGCTGTTAACAGAAAAAAAGTCACCATTTTCATTTACGCTTATACCAAGAAGCATCTTCTTCTTACCCCTGGCTGTTTCATTTTCTGAATGGCAAACTTGAGCAGGTAAGACAACTGTTCAATGTTGAGCATCGTCATGGCTTTACTCTGCGTCTCGATGCATTCTGCTACTGTAATTTTCTACAAGTCAAAATCATATACGAATGCACGGTTAGAAAAAAGAAATTACTATCCATGTACTTATTTCCCTTCTGTTTTTTCAATCGACTCACACATAAAAAAAGCAATTCCCATCTAAATGAGACGCGTTGTTTCGCTTGGCAAAGACTCCAATCTACTAGACCAAAATGTACTGGATCGGTGGGTAAAAATTACAAAGCTCAACGACTCATTTATTACCTTATGAGGAAATGGTTTTTAGCTCATGATCTGAGAAAGATGTGGGTAGACAGGGACCTGAAAAATCATCATTGTTATAACCTTTGGGTTTCAGGAATAGGAGAAGAAAGTGAAGGCCACTAACGGTTTCAGGGTGATCTCCCGGGAGGAATACTTATCGGCCACTTATCTTGATCCTCTTAAAGTTCTGGGCTATCTTTCAGGAAACTGACAAAGCATTAACTCGATGACATCACTGATGGAAAGGAAGAGATTTCCCTGTAGAAAGAATATGAGGGACGGTCGCGGACTGATAGTAAGACTTCATTCTCCATCGCCACCGACGTGAACTGACTCAGGACATGCTGGCAAACCACACAGGAAGCAGAGTCTGGCTGTCTGTTTCCATAGGCAATAAATGTCATTCCATAAGGGAAATTCCCATCAAAGGAGAGACCCAGAGAAACGTCTGAAACCTAATTCAGCTATGTAAATCTGATACTATATCTTAAGGCTTCAGAATCCTTATGTAGCAGCAACAACAAAAATAGCAAATTCCGATGATGTCAGGAAACACTCTTTAACCATCTGCGTAGGAAGAGCTGAGAAAAGTTTTCTGCAATTAATTTGGATTCAGTTTCCATTCTTCACATTTCTGGGGCCTGCAAAAGGAGCTCTCAGATATGTTTCGTTGGTTGTTGAGAAAAAGGCCAACATAAGAGTCACTCAGAAGCTGAGAACAGTGCACGACGCAGGCACATGTCCGTTTGCTTAGCTGCCAAGGCCTGACACATCTCCTCTTCCCAGTTACTGCTTTACCGTTTCAGCCCTGGAAGAAATTCTGGGCCCTGAACCGTAGACACAGAACACCTGCTAGTTTGATTCTGGTTTGTTTCCAGGTAACTATCCATGGTGAACACCTGAGCTGCCTCCCACAACCACACCACCCCCCCCCCCACACACACACACACACACACCCCTCTTCCTCCTGGCTAGCAGCGCCTGGGTCCCACCACACCAAAAGTGCCAGATCAGCATTTTTCAAACCTTTTTTTTTTTTTTTGCCTGAGGACTGGTGATCCAATGAGCCCAAGGGAAAATCAGCTAGGAAATAATGGGTGAATCCAGGATGCAAGGAGAGACACCCTCCTCTTAGGGGGATTTTAGTTCGTCCACACATGACACCTGAACCCCCAGCAGCCATCTTAGGGGTTTGGCTTACACTCACCTCAACAATGAAATGCAAAGAGCCTGGCTCTGAAAAAACGCTGGCCCTGTCTCTGGGTTCTTCCCACACATGATAACAAATCCCTATTGTTTCAGCTGCCTTTCATCAGGAAATATTACTTGCAGCAAAAGCACCCTATCTGAGCCACTATCTTTTTTGCAATATCATGAAACAATTGGGAAGAGTTAGTCAAGACAAAAAAAAAAAAATTGGTAAAGGCTCCAGTTCCCACACTAAATGTAGTAGAATGAGGTCAGGCCCTGAGCACAGAGGAGGGCATTGCTGAGCAAAGCGTATCTTACGTAGCTCTCCATCCAGGATAATCCAAAAAGAACAGCAGCCATCTTCTACTATTTTAGAGGCAGAATACCATGACAATGTCATCATCACATGGATCTCACCTCTAATTTCTTTCCATACAATTCTTACTTTTCTCCTTTCCCTACACAAAAGCATACCACAGACACTGTCCTATAGCTTGCTTTTTCCCCACTAAAGACATCTGGGTGACCTTTCCATGGCATACGTAGAAAGCTTTCCCATTTGAGATCTAACTCTAATACCTTTGAATCCAAGAGACATTCCATATTAAAGGATTTTGGAGATGACATTCTTATTTTCAGCATTTTAAAAACACATCATAGTTGGGGGTTACCAAGAATAAAAGCCACCTCAGAACAGTGGAAACCCTAATGATTGGTTTAACGTGGCATGTTCAGGCTTTGTTACAAATGAAGCCACGCACCGACTTCACTACGCCCAGCGAGCTGCTGCCTCCAGCTCTGCACCTGTAGCTCCCTCTGCATGGAAGGTCTCCCCCAGACGGCTGCATGGCTCACTCCTCCCCTCCTTCGGTCTTTCTCACATCTTAGCGAGGCCCCCGCCAGACCTCTACATTTACAATGAAAACACTGTGCAGTGCCCCTCTGGGCTTCCTACTCCCATTCTCTAGTCGCCTTCTCTAGAGCACTTTTCTTCTAACTCATTAAATGTGACTTTATTTATTTTGGATTGTTTTCCTTTTCTGCTGAGAAGAACGTTGATTCACGCCTATTTTTGTGCAGTGTTGAATCCCCAGCACCTAACAGGCACTCAAAAAATACTTGCTGCATAGAGGAAAGCATCAGATGGCCACCACGTGGAACTGGTCTTCCAACAAAACTGGTCTTCCCAGCTTGGCTACTGTTGATGATTCATCAGTGCGGCAGGAAGCGTCATCCAAGAAGGGGAACAACAGCACGACATCTTTTCAAAACGTGTGAACTCTTTAAAGATGTATGAGTTAACTTTCAAAACGTTCATTACAGAAGAATCAGAGACGGCCGCAGATCTCGAAGCGATCCAAAGACCCGTGAAGAAGCAGAAACAATATTCAGGGCAATTGTCTTTCCAAGAGCTGTAGTGCTGCGGCCATTGCCAATGCTGGTCCAAAAAAAAAAGGTGACCAGGATAGAGCAGTTGGAAGGCAAGAAATTTCTCTTTCCCCGATTACCTAGATTATTTGAAAAATTAAAAAATAAAAGGAAGGAAGAGGAAGGAGAGGAAATGAGGCAGGTAATGCATTCGTTCATCAGGAACTAACCTCACATTCAGGACAAAACCAGTCCCCCTCTGGTTCCGATGTCAGTCTCAGACACTTAGCGTGATAAACCCGGGGACAGAGCTCACAGCAAAGGACTTGGCCTTCCCGGTGACAAACCCAGCAGTAGAAATCATTCCGTCCATCCTGCGGTACAACATCAACAGGGTCTGTGGTGAGTGGCTGCTTCATATAGTAAAACGGACCATGTCTTAGTTCTGACTGAAATGTAGGCAAGAAAGACAGGTTTGGTTTCAAAACAAATGTGCATTCTCAAAAGGAATTTGAACAAGTACATCAATAACAATAAAAGAAAATTATAGCATTTCACAAATTTATTAAAAAGCCAAGCTACCTTGGGTTACTCTACTAAATACAGCATTAGTGGGTCATTAGCTATTATGAAGGGTTTTTTCTTTCTTTCTTTCTTTCTTTCTTTCTTCTATTTTAAGAGGTAATGAATTGAAAGCTGATTCTAAGAGTTACTAGGCACCTCTGACAGCACAATGGCTACAACCCAGGCATACCTGAGTTCAAATTTTAACTCTACCATTAACCAGTTGCACAACTTTGAACAACTCTTAACCTCCCAGCTTCAATTTTCTCATCTGTAAAATGGAGATGGTATTACCTAACACTTCATGGTATTGTGTTGGGATTAAATGGGATAATATAATGTATGCATTTAACACAGTGCCCCCATTATTAACATTGCTAGTACAGTTAAAAGCCTAACCTATGGAAGTCTGAATTTACAAAGCTAATAAAAGCACAGCAATTTTCCAGGGATTCTTTAAACAGCAGGCCTCTGGAGAACAGATAATTAGATTTGAGTCACCAAAAAATGGCCATCCATTATTTATGTCTACCCCCAATACACAGAGTATTTATGAGCCAATAAGAGCTTTCCTAAAGCTATGGAAAAGCTCTAAACGTGGTAGGTCCTTATATCTGCCGGGGAGCCACAACTCTTATCCGAAATCAACCATGGCAGAAAGATGAGATGGGTGGCCAATTCACGGGAGCTAGACCTCTTCCTGTCCCAAAATACCATCGAAAAATGCTTCATTATAAAATCCTGCAAAGCCACACTCCAAACACAAAAAGTCACTAAGAAGAACTCTTAAGGAAAATGTCTGTCAGAAACCAATATGAGATCCTATTTAGGAAGTATGAGAAAGGCCAGCAATACGGTTCAAAAAGACCTGGTGACTATCTGTGTGACCCTAAGAAAGCCACTCAATCCACTTTGAGCCTCGATTTTTTGGCAGTAAAAACCATGGATAATAGTTCAGCCACATCCATATTATCTACTTTTGAAGAAACATCATTGTATAATAAGCTTTTCTGTCCTTCAGTAAAACAAAACGGTTTCCTCCACAGAGACCTCATATATTGGATACCGCATACTTTGTGCTGATACTATGAATGGGGACCTTTTGCTATTATATTTCCTAAATGGTTATTGTTGGTACATAGAAATGCTGTTAGCTTTTTAATATTGACTTATAATAAACAGTTCTAATAGTTTATTGACTGAAAATCGTATTATTAATATTTCTAAGTAACATCAGAGTTGTGTCTGCTCATGTCTAATACTTTTGCATTAGTTTTATTTTTTCTTTATTTTAATGGCTAGAACCTCCATGATAATATGAAAGAGTCACCCAGATTGAAGGCAGCTATGTCTTTTTTTTTTTTTTTTTTTTTTTGAGACAAAGTCTTGCTTTGTTGCCTGGGCTAGAGTGCCGTGGTGTCAGCCTAGCTCACAGCAACCTCAAACTCCTGGGCTCAAGCAATCCTTCTGCCTCAGCCTCCCGAGTAGCTGGGACCACAGGCATGCACCACCATGCCCGGCTAATTTTTTCTATATATATTTTTTTAGTTGTCCAGATCATTTCTTTCTATTTTTTAGTAGAGACGGGGGTCTCGCTCTTGCTCAGGCTGGTCTCAAACACCTGACCTTGAGCGATCCACCAGCCTCAGCCTCCCAGAGTGCTAGGATTACAGGCGTGAGCCACCGCGCCGGCCTATTACGAGGTTTTAATGATCTCAAAATGCCTGGTGTTTCTACAGTCCTTGATAAAAAGCCTCAGAGATGCTTATTTAAGCAGATCTTTGTTAACCAATCTTTCTAAGCCTCCCTACTTTCATTTCTACAAAGTACAGAGCTAAGTCTTCTAAGTGTGATTGTGTAATTCTTTCACCCAGTTATTTCCCTGCTTCATGTCAACTTTTAAGACAGAGTGGTCTACTTGGTTTCCAGGAAATAACATCATTTTAACAGTATTCTTTTCATGTTTTACTTTTTAACATACTGTTGTGCACACACCATCTTCATATTACCCTGAAAACTACCGAGAAAGGTACTTAGGAAAGACACTACAGGTTGAGCAAACCTAATCCAAAACTGTGAAATGTTCCAAAGAGCACTGACATGATGTACAAGTAGAAAAGACCTGACCTCATGTGATAGGTCATATATATTATTAAAAATATTGTATATTTCAGGCTATGTCTGTAAGGTATATATGGAACACAAATTAATTTTGTGTTTGGACTTGGGTCTCATCCCCAAGGCGTGTCATTATATATATGCAAATATTCCAAAAATCTGAAAAAATCTGAAATCCAAAACAATTCTGGTCCCAAACATTTCAGATAAGGGATACTCAACCTGTACTAGTTTTACTCCTCAGATGGCAAAACTCAGCTAAAAAGACTTATCTGACCTCGGAGCCCAGAGCAAAGACTAAAACCAAGGTCTCCCAGAACCCTCTCTTCTCCCTGTACCCCACACAAGACAATGCCTGATACAGAAGAGATTTTGATAACTTAGTGACCCCCCTCAGAGAACATTCTCCCTAATACAAAAGAAGTTCTGCATAACGCACAAAGCTGGAGGGGAAAAACATCTGAACAGTAAGAAGACTACCAAAAACCTAACAGAAGGGAACACAAATAGTATATAGAGCAGGGGCTCTCAACTTCAGCCCCTTCTGCCATTTAGGGCCAGAAAAGCCTTTATTGTGGGAGCCATCCTGTGCAGTGCAGGATGGGTAGCAGCATCACTACCTAGGTGCCAGTAACACCCACACACACATAAAACTGTGACGACCAAATAAAAAAATTAGCTGGGTGCAGTGGCATGCACCTGTCGTCCCAGCTACTGAGGAGGCTGAGGCAGGAGGATCACTTGAGCCCAGGAGTGCAAGGCTGCAGGGAGCTATGATCATGCCACTGTACTCTATCCGGGATGACAGAGCAAGACTCTGTCTCAAAAATAAACAAGAAAACAAAAAACTGTGACAACCAAAAATGTCTGCAGACATTGTCAAATGTCCCCGGGGCAGGGGGCAAAACTGTCCCTAGTTGAGAACCATTAATGTAGAGGGTCTGCTATCTACCAAGGAAAATGGGTGCTTGAGTTGGGGACGGGGTTGTTAAAGAGGAGGTAAAAGGAGGAAGAGGAGGGAGGGGATGGGGGAAGAGGAGGAGTAATTTCCATTGAAAGATAAACTATATGTATCAAGCAAGCAGAACTATTTCTAACCTGAGAGAGCTCTTCTAGGCTACTACTGTGGTTTTGTAAGGTAACAGCAAGTCATACTTTCAGTGTCCAACTTCCTTTTAGTGAGTTAATAATACGACAGGAAGAGTTGTGAAGATCTAATCAAAACTATGAGAATCAAATATGAAATCTAGTCTCCCTAACCAACAACTCAAGTCTTGTCTAACAGGAATTTAGTCTCCCCTGGTGCCACCATCCTGCCCCAGCCCCACCTAGCGGGGTGTGGGTGTCCCTAGGAGGATCACAAGGATGGCCAGCCTGCTCCATACTCTTTTCAGGAGACTTCCTCCTTCTCTGCAGCTGCCGTGGCTGCTGAGAACTAGCTGCCTGGTTAATCTCCTTGTCAATCAGATACTTTCCTTATCTGCCGCTTGTAAGTGTTTCCTGCTCCATAAAAATAATCTGATAACAAATATGGAACATTTAAAAAGGAAAAGCACATCATTTCAGACAAAACGAGTTATGATTTTTCTCCCCGACATGTATACGGTGTGCTACCAAGCCTGACAGCAAGGGAAACGGGTTGCAACCTGTGTTGTTATGGGATAATTGTGGGTTATTATGGGATATTGCAGGAAAGCAAATGTTCTTATTTCCCCGCTACTTTCACAGGCTGGCTTAACAACAAAATAGGAAAGGCCTGTCTATTCGCTCCTGGAATACCTTCATCTACACCAGGAGCCAAGCAAATTTTCTATAAAGGGTTCTATAAAGACAGTAAATAGCTGAGGCTTTGCAGGCCATACAGGCTCTATTGTAACTACTCAACTCGGCCACTATAGCACAAAAGCAAATACAGATGAAAAGCAAACATAGATGAATGAGTGTAGCTGTGTGCCAATAAAACTTTATTTACAAAAACAGGCTCCAGACAGCATCTAGCCCACATAAGTGCTCTGGCTATGTGTGAGCACAGGATACACGTATGGGGGATGAGAGACCATAAACTCAAATTCCTACAGAGGCCATGTAGGTACCATACATGTGTACAAATGGCCCTAGCATCAGAATTCCATTCGTTCTCCTGCATTTGATCAAAATCATGGGTACTACAAAGTATGTTAAAAAGAAAAAAAAACAAAGGCCCAGCCCTGGAGGGTGAGGATGCACTGGCATTCAGCCTAGAGGTGGGAGAGACAGCAGGGAGGGGCAGAGCTCCCACCCAACTTAAGGGGGCAGCCCCCACTCGGCTCCAGTGATCTAGGTATTAGGTGCACACACTCTCCTAGTGCTGCCTGACCTTGGGGAGAAGCCAGCAATCCCTACTGTCCCCTGAACTGTCTCAACTGTTAATACACTACCCCAGCCCAACAAAGGACTACTGCAAAATGTTTCAGTTTTTAAGATAATGCATGGGCCCAACAAACTAAGTGCTAGCCCATTTCTGATATGTATACATCCTGCGCTCAGAAGGTGAGGAGGCGCCCCGTCACTTCTTTGCCACATTTGATCAAAGGTGTACCTAAGGTCATTTTGTACAAATCTGCTTAGCAGATTATTTCTCAATTCTTTAATGGGGGAAGGGGAACACCTCCCCAAAGGACACTGTGAACTCAAAATGTTCTAAGATTAAAGTGGTATTTATCAGTAAAGGCCCTAATGACATTTTGGGCAAGACATTTCTTGTCCCATCTACTGCAGGACACTTAGCAACCTGACCCTCCTCCACAAAATGCCAGGAGCATCCTCCCACACATTCTCAAACCTTCGCTGGGGGTTAAGCCATTGGACCAAAGGACTTTTTTAAAACTCTCCTAAAAGTAACAGATTCCCAATATGTAAAAAAATGGGTAAAACAGAGGCCAAAGTTAAAACTAAGCCCCTATCTCTACTTGGTAATAAAAGGTCTCCATCAAAAGTGGAAATAGGCCAGGCACGGTGGCTCACGCCTGTAATCCTAGCACTCTGGGAGGCCAAGGCAGGAGGATAGCTTGAGGTCAGGAGTTCAAGACCGGCCTGAGCAAGAGTGAGACCCCATCTCTACTAAAAATGCAAAGAAATTAGCTGGACAACTAAAAATATACAGAAAAAGTTAGCCAGGCATGGTGGCGCATGCCTTGTAGTCCCAGCTACTCGGGAGGCTGAGACAGGGAAGGATCGCTTGAGCCCAGGAGTTTGAGGTTGCTGTGAGCTAGGCTGACGCTATGGCACTCTAGCCCGGGCAACAGAGCAAGATTCTGTCTCAAAAAAAAAAAAAAAAATTTGAAAATATATGGTTTATCTGTTTTTTACAAGGTCAGAATGGCTTTCTTTCCAGGCCACTGGAACGCAGAAGAGAAATTAGAGTGAAGAAAAAGAAAAAGAGGTAAGAGATGGAGCGTCTTGATATAAGCCAGAAGTCAAAAGAAAGTGAAAGCTTACAGAGACCCAGAGGTGGATGGAATGAGCAGAACAGGCAGAGTGTAGGACTCTAGGGAGGGGTGGGGTCAGGGAGAGGGCACAGGTCCTATGTCTAAAGCAGCAGGCTCGGCTCAGCTCCAGCTGTTGTGAGATTTTTCTAAGTGTTATAGTCTGAATGTTTGTGTCCCCCCTAAAATTCCTATGTCGAAATCCTAACCCCAAGGTTAGAAACTTGCAGCCCTTGGGGAGTGATTAGGGCTCTGCCCTCATGAATGGGATTAGTGCCCTTATAAAAGAGATCCCTGCCAGGCGTAGTGGCTCATGCCGGTAATCCCGGCACTATGGAGGCCAAGGGCAGGAGGATCCCTTGAACCCAGGAGTTCAAGACCAACCTGAGCAACATAGAGAGACTCCCACCCACCACCCCCGTCTTTACAAAAAATTTTTTAAAAATTAGCTGGGCATGGTGATGCACCTGTAGTCCTAGCTACTTGAGAGGCTGAGGCAGGAGGATCACCTGGGCCTAGGCATTCGAGGTTGCAGTGACCTATGCTCATGCCATAGCACTCCCTTTAAAGGATTTAAATTCCCCTTGAGGAAACAGATTGTACACGAGAGAGATTGTCCCAACTATGCAAACACTGCATGTTAGAAGGAATTATGGGGTCAAAGGTCAGGAATCTCTTCCCTTTACAGTTAAGGCTATAACTTCTTTGCCAACAAAAATCTCCTGGCCAACTAAAACTGGGAGTTTTAGTTCAAAAAACAAACCCCTAATCAACCTTATGATGTTCTTAGTTCAAACCCCTATTTTACAACATAAATGAGGCTCAAAGATGGGAAAGCAACTAACAGGGTCACACAGCAAGTCTCTCAGATGCCACAGGCCAGAACGACCCTGGTGTCCAGGTGGACCGCGTTCCCTCTGCCATCCATATCGAAGACAACTGGGAATTTGGGAGCACACTCATGCCCTGCATCCCCACACCCCGAGTGCTTCCTGTATTCACGAGCCCCCACTCTGTGTCTAACTTGGGGGAGCCAGCAGTGCCAGACACTGGACATGTTTTGGAAGCCGCTAGCCCAGATGGGGACACAGACTTACAAATACATCTTTGTGGTCACAAGGCCTAAGTGTTATAGACATGGTGTTAACACACAGATTGGGCAGGGAGAGAAGACAGTGCCTTGAACTGCCCAAGTAAATCAATTTCCAGAAAAAGGGGTGCAAGTCAATTCCCAAAGGACAGGTAGAAGCCCACAAAGTGTGTGCACGTGTGCACACGCAGAGAGGCATGAGGAGACTATTTCTGCACAGAAGGGACGGCATTTGCTTTCAGGACTTACTGGTAACTAGTAAGGGAGCGTTGGCCCAGGAAGTTCAATTACTAGCTAAGTAAAAGTTTGAGGATTATCCGTGGCCTTCATGTTTCTTTCTTAGCCTTCACTCCTGACAGCTAGGAGATGGCTCCTGGGTCACACGGGTAGGGTGTCAGTGGCTTTAAGCCAGACAGACAGATCTAAGCTCAAATGCAGCTTCTTACTTGTTCTGAGACCTTGAAGAGGTAACTTAACCTCTCTCAACTTGCATGTTTCATCTGTAAAGTGGACACAATGACAGCCCTTCCTCGCCAGGTTGTCACAGCAGCAGACAACATAAGACAAATAGTGCTTTGAGTATTATCATTATCATCATCAACACTACGTACTGCGATGCCCCTCAAAATTTACTTAGGACCCACCAGTCTCTTCTATAACAAAATTCTCAACTCACTTAGACCTGCACAGTCCAACCCAACACGGTAGCTACAAGCCACTGGTAGCCACTTAAATTTAAATAAAATGAAAAACTCAGTTCCTCAGTCACACTTGCCACTTCCAAGTGTTCAAGAGCCACATGCGGCTGGTGGCTAACATCTCGCTTAGTCTAGAGCCTGGCTTAATTTGTATTATTATTACTGATGCCATTTAGCTCTATCAATCTTCACAAGAACCATGTGAAATTAGTAGTAGCAACGATATCCCTGTTTCAGTATATGAGAAAACCTGGCACAAAAGAGGTTAAAACTTGCCCACAGCCACACAGCAAAAGCAGAGCTGGCGTTTCACTATGTAATTTTGAGATTGAAAATAGATTCATGTTCAGAAACACACACCTCTCACAGGCCTGGGCATTTAACCATTGCAAGTTCTCTTCCCGTGAAAGAAACAATCTTGTTTAATTCAGCCTCAAATCCCCGGGGCCTGCTCCGGGACTCAATAATGCACACTGCAGACGAATGCATCCCCGGGATTCGCTGCTGAAGAGCAAGTGGCACCGGAACCACTGGCACCTGGTTTCTTTCAACGCTGGGAGTTCTGATCTCACAGTCCACGGAGGGGAGAGGTAAATCCCACCAGTAAGTCCACTAAAGCACCTCTCGATCTTTTTTTAAATCAGAAGAGTATGTAGCCTGCATCAAAGAATTTTAAAGCTAAGGCCGGGTGCGGTGGCTCAAGCCTGTAATCCTAGCACTCTGGGAGGCCGAGGAGGGCGGATTGTTTGAGCTCAGGAGTTCGAGACCAGCCTGAGCAAGAGCGAGACCCCATCTCTGCCAAAAATAGAAAGAAATTAATTGGACAGCTAAAAATATATATAGAAAAAATTAGCCGGGCATGGTGGCACATGCCTGTAGTCCCAGCTACTCGGGAGGCTGAGGCAGGAGGATCGCTTGAGCCCAGGAGTCTGAGGTTGCTGTGAGCTAGGCTGACGCCACGGCACTCTAGCCCGGGCAACACGGTGAGACTTCGTCTCAAAAAAAAAAAGAAAAAAGAATTTTAAAGCTATAAGTTTCCTTAGACAAGATCCAAACAGTGAATAGATTTTCCTTATCTAGTTGGTTGGTCCTGGCTGCCAGGGGAGGGTGGGGTCTAAGAAAGAGTCCTGCTGCCCAGGTGTGTGCTAATCACCTAAGTCTACCGCAGGCAGTGCCTCCTACCATAGACCTAAACCCCCCATTTTACAGATGAGAAAACTGAGACCAGAAGGGAGCAACCACCTTCAGGCAGAGCTTAGAATCAGTCCTACTGGCTGGGCCCAGGAGGGGGAAAAATCCTCAGGCCACACAGGAAACATTAATCCAAAGAAAAGCCCCAACCCCTAAAGAACAATGCCCTCATCTCATCTGTGTCACTGTTCTGTCCCCAAAACAGATCTGAAAACCCACTGGAAAGTCCTACACAGCCCCATTTTGAACTGCCCTTTTTGTCCTATGCAAAGGACAGCCAGTGCAAGGCAGCTTGCTAAGTGCAGAGAACACTGGCTCTTAGAAAGACCCGGAGAGCCTCAGTGCTGTCCACTGGCCCCCGCGCGGCACGGACACTGCTGCCAGCGGCTGCTTTACCTGCTCCTTGCTATTGTTGTTCAGTAAGCCGGGTTTCTTTTTCTTTTTAATGGGGCTTGCTGACGCATCCTGTGGCGAGTGGCCGTTGGAAGAATGTGGAGGGCTGGGTAACTTTCTTTTCTGGGCCGTTCTCTCTGTAGAGCCAGGATCTGAAAGAGACACAGAACCACTCGTTTGAAAGCAGTCGGGGTGGCCGAGGGCCCACAGGGAGGCGAGTGTGGGACACGGTGCGTTTTGTCCCCAGACTCCCGATGCCATGTCAGTGTTCCTCCTCCTAGAATCTACTTGCCCTCCTCCTCGAAGTCTGTCTCAGAGGTCAGTCTTTCTGCGTCCTAAGTAACATTTTTGTAAAATCTTAATTTGTTGCCAAAATATAAAAATTGGGAAACTTCACCTAACAATCTAGATTTGGGGCTTCTCTTGAAAAAAGAAAAAAAACACACGGATCAGGCCTACATGCCCTCATGCCACCAGACACAGCTGAATCACAGCCACCCACTTAAATGGAAATGAGCTCTGCATTTTGCCACAGTCATCACTCTTCCTTACTGTGTCCCCGTTGACGGCCAACGCCGTGACCAAGCTGCCCAGATCCGCCACCCAGGCACCAGTATCGTTCTTATCCCAAAGGAATATTTCTTCTCCACAACCATGCCTGATGGTGAAAGCAGGAAACCATGAAAGATAGACCACGCAGGCCACACACGTCAAGGAAATGAAGGCACACATTCTTCTTTGCAAAAGACAGCAGCATTTATCCACGTTTATTAGGCTAACGGAGCACAGCTGTGTAAAAATACACCCCACGCACCAGAAAGTTCTCGCTGCCCCATCACCACAGGAGTCACGTCTGCGCCCCTCTTCCAAAGTGATCGATACCGATCACATTCCCACTGATCCTCACCCGAGAAGTGCCAGCCCCACTCTTGTCAATCCACCCTGTGTTTCCGTCTCCCAGCATCACACGTAAACACATGAACCCTTCCACCACCAGCCATCCGATCTTCACCTGCAAGGGCCTGAATCCACTCCATGCCTGGCGGTGTTCTTGTTGGCTCAGGGCCCATATAATGGCACGGCTCGTTGCAGCTTACGTCCTGAGGAACGAAAAGCCACAGACACAGAAAAGGAGAGCTATGCCAAGAGCACGGGGGTGGAAAGGGAACTGAAATCCAGAAAGATGACTAGCTCCAAAGACCCCCCCCCCCCCGACGTTGTGCCGCTTGGGCAGGTGCCAGCACGCGGGCCGCGTGGTGCCTCACTGTCTCTCTCTCCCCTGTCTGCAGAAGAGTCGCCGATGGCACATTAGCAGGGTCCATCCCGGCACGGCCACATGGGCGTCCTCCTAGTGGTCTGCTTTTCACTGGAAGGCAAAGCACCTTCCAGGAGACTCACAAAGGGAGACGATGAACAGTTTTCCAAAAACCCAACCCACACGATGGAGCTCTCCAGCCTCCGCGGGCAGGCTCCGGGAAAACTGAGTAAAAATGGAGACCTGGTCCTGAGAGGAAATTAAATGCTAACCACAGGCACCTTGAGGATGAACAGACCCCAGAGCCCGGGATCACACCACAGACATCAAACTGGAGGCCCAGAGAGCCCAAAGCGTTGGCCCGCAGGCACACGGCAGCTAGTTAGTGAGGAAGCTCAACCTGGGGTCGGCGTGTTCCCCCAGAGAAAACCTCCTCTCGTTCCCAGATGGGTCTTCACCCGTCACACACGAAAACTCTCCGCTCTCTCCACCTAGCCTTTGACCCAAGAGTCCGCTCCTAGAAACACATTCTACAAACACGGTCACAGGGAGCAAAGCACATTCAAGATGATTTGACTGCGGCACTATGCCATACCCAAGACTGGAAACAACTTTAATGTCTATGAATACAGGACTGTTCTAATAATACATTACAGCCACACAACAGACTATTCCGCAGCCACCAAGAATAATGAATGAGGCACCTCCACAGGTACCGATGTGTGACAATCCCTAAGCTTCTGCATCCAGTCAAAAAGCGAATGTGTGTCTAGCACCATTAACGAACCAACACACACCTCCCATTAAAGATGCAATATACACATCAATGTTTCCATAAACCTAGAATGTTCCTGGATGCACACAAAAGTACGACAGCGCTCCAGCTGGGGACTGGTGGTTGCCTTGGGAGGAGAGCCTGCAGGGAGTGGGGGGAAGGATTATTTTTCACCATATGCCCTTGTGTACTGTATGTATCATGAGCCTGGACGACTTTATCGAAAAGTATTTAGAAGGTTTAATTTCACATAAAAAAGCACCAAGTGCAAACCAAAGCCAGTACTGAGCAAATGAGGGAGGCCTGACTTAGGATAAGAAGTATCACCAGATGGATAAAGTTGGGGCCAGTCACCAAAAGGTTGCGGCCCACAGGACGGAGTTTGGGGTTTGTTCTATATAAACCTGATAAACCCCAATAATGCTGCTCCAGGGCCAGAGTATGGATGTTTCATAAAGGTGTTTTGGGGGCTCAAAGGAAATGTGTCCCATAAGAAATAGCATCCTGCCCAGGCAAAAACTGAAAGCAATCAGGCAGAGGTTTGGGTTTTGTTACGTTTTTAGTTTGTGAGTAGATTTTAAGAGAAGGAAGTATATGAGTAAAGACTTGCTAATGGGAAGGTGCGGGGCATGTTCAGGGAAAAGCAAGTTGTGTGTTCCAATGTTTCTCAACGGAGCACTGCTGGATTCCGGAAGGGACAGCTCTTCCTGACTGCAAGGAAACCTCAGCACTCTGCCACTCATTCCCACTAGTACCCCTCAACACTGTCAGAACAAAAAGTACACCCATGGCCGGGCGTGGTGGCTCACGCGTGTAATCCTAGCACTCTGGGAGGCCGAGGCGGGCGGATCGTTTGAGCTCAGGAGTTTGAGACCAGCCTGAACAAGAGCGAGACCCTGTCTCTACTAAAAATAGAAAGAAATTAGCTGGACAACTGAAAATATATAGAAAAAATTAGCCGGGCATGGTGGCGCATGTCTGGTAGTCCCAGCTACTCGGGAGGCTGAGGCAGGAGGATCGCTTGAGCCCGAGTTTGAGGTTGCTGTGAGCTAGGCTGATGCCACGGCATTCTAGCCCGGGCAACAGAGTGAGACTCTGTCTCAAAAAAAAAAAAAAAAAGTACACCCACAAACTTCCCAAACACTCTCAAGGAAGTGGTACTACCCACCCTCCTGAAGAGCCACCAAGTTGGAAAATGGGGCACAGTGGATGGACACAGCCAACGTTTATTCAGCCCTTGGAGCCAGAAAGGGCCCCAGCTCCTCCTTGGACAGTCTCAGTTATCCAAGTGAATGGCTAAGATTCCCTGGGACAATGGTTCCCAGCGTGTGGCCCCTGTACCACTAGCAGCAGTATCACCCGGGAATTGGCTAGAAATGCAAATTCTCAGGCTCCCACCCCAGATCTACAGAATCAGAAACTCTGGGGTAGGGCCCAGCATTCTGTATTTTAACTAGTCCTCCCAGGAATTGGAAGCACACTAGTTTGACGTATCTGGTATACGTTTGAGGGATGCAGTCTGAGTTCTCATGACTCGAGAACCCCATTCCACACAGGTGAGCCAGTCTCCTCAACTTCCCCACCACTGTCTGAGGGCTTGTTCAGGACTCAACAAACAGAAGCCAAGCAAGGAGGCAAGGCTGGACAATGAGTCTAAACAGGAAATGACCCCAGGCAAGTCTCTTCGCTTCTCAGGGCCACAGCGACTCACCTGTACAATGGGAAGAGAGGGGGGGAAAAAGGGACCAAAACCGTAAGTTCTTGTCTGGAGTCCATGACAGTGCTTCAGGGACCCATGAACCCCATGCCACTATGTTATACATGGATGTAACTTCTTGGAAAGCAGGGCCATAGCCCACTTCACCTTCCCAAAGGTGTCCTCAGCTCTAATGATACGAACGTCAGGCCCAGAGATGCCTGGGGTTTTTTGTTGTTTTGTTTTGAGACAGGGTCTCACTGCGTTGCCCCGGCTAGAGTGCCGTGGCGTGTTCCTAGCTCACAGCAACCTCAAACTCCTGGGCTCAAGCGATCCTCCAGATGCGTGGCTAATTTTTCTATTTTTAGTAGAGACAGGGATCTCACTCTTGCTCAGGCTGGTCTCAAACTCCTGACCTCAAGTGATCCCCTCACGCTTCAGCCTCCCGGAGTATTAGAATTATAGGCGTGAGCCATCACACCTGGCCCAGAGGGTCTTCAAGTCCCTCTTAAACTTCAAAACTCTTTAATTCTATGGGAAAGAGAAAAAAAAATCCCTAAAAATTAACACACTTGTAAGCAATTTGGAGCTGGCAAGGGAGTTTTGCCCACGCCCACCAGGAAACAAAAGGGGAGACCAAGGTCCTGCTCAGCAAGGGGGAGGTCTGGGCCACGGTTGCCTATATTCCAAACCTTCTAGTCTCAGCAAAACATAAAAGCCCCGATTCTGTTTGCTGTTACAAACACACCGATTCCCCCTGGAGTTAATGAGAGTTCAGCAGCTATATCCAAGGGGTAGAAATTTAATAGGTTCCAAACAACAGACACATCAGTCAACAGCAGGGACTTTCAGTGAGGGCTCTTAGGGAGAAACATTGGGAAGTGCCTGCTGGATTCGGGTGTCCTTTGGAGGTAGGGGACTGCAGGATGGCGTTAGGACTTAAGTGCCCCCACTCCAGTCGGGGCTGGGCCTCTGGTGATGACAGCCTGCGGGGTGCAGACATAGTAACCAGGCCGACATCAGCACCTTTTCCAGAGAGCTGAGTCAAACTTTTTTTTCTTCTTTAATGATTTAATTCTGACGAGGATGTATTGCTAAGCACATTTCATCTATAAACTTGGAGCCATGACAAATATCTACCACGGACCGAATCACTGGGAAATAGTTCACCCTTGATCTGAAAGATGTTTCTGCTGCCTGCTCTGAAATAGCAGGACCTTGATTCTACCCAGTTGGCTCCCCAGCACCCCTCTGCCTCCCACCCCCACAACAGTCTGGTTCTGAAAGAGTTAACGTGGGAGAGGGAGGCGAGCTGCCTTGTGGAAGAGGACAGAGCAATGACTCAGGGAAACAGCTTGGCATGGAGCAGAAAGCAGCAGAATTCTTCCTTCCTTGTGACATTTCACTGAAATCTTAATAATATAGG